TATATATATATATATATATATATATATATATATATATATATATATATATATAAACCGTAAAGTATATATATATATACATATATTTTGTATACAATAGAAACAACAACTTTTGCGACTGATTGACCAACATAAAACTATACTCGTAACATAGCGCTGGCCCTAGAGCTATATGCTCTAAATATATATAGCACATAAGTCAATAACAACAACAACAACAACAAAACAAAAAAACAATATTCAATTTAATATTGCATTTATTCAACAAAACGTAAATTCACATGAAACAAAAACCAATTCCAAAACTATATTCCAATTTCTCATATGCAAATTGTTCAACTTTCAACTCCAACTCTATCTCTGTAGTACTTATATATAGAAGTATATATATATATATGTATACGTATTATTTATATCTTTATATATGAGAACTATGCAAATTATGATCTTTAAAGAAAAGTATTTATTTTACATTTTCCAAAAGTTTCCCTTTTCAATATTGATATTAGTTTCCCTATGTGAATATTTATATTTTTATATATTTATATATTCATATTTGTCGTGTTTGTTTTTCGTTAAATTTGTTCGCCCTCCAAAGCAAACACAATAATTATATTAATAATCGCGCTCGATATTATGATAACTATATATACATATATATATATATATAGTAGTACATAACATATTTACAAACATACACACACACACACACTTACACTCACATACACACACACACACTCACACACAAGGTATTTCTTTTTGAATGTCTCTCTTATTTATATATTTATATATATATACAAAGCATATATATGTATACATAAATGTATATGTAATAAAAATAAAAAACCAATAATGAAATATTTAAAGAAAGAAGAAGATTTTTGTAAACGCGTGAGAGGAGATTTAAAAAATTAAAAACTTTAAATAAAGCAGGCAAAAAATCCGAAAAAGCTGATAAAATATATAAAACAAGGCATAAATATTATATACAATTTATTTTACAGTATATCCGATATATCAATACTCTAGACTTAAGTGACAAAAAAAAAGTAAAGAAATAACATTAAATTAAAATAAAAACAAATATATTTATATACATAATTAAATAATAAAAATAAAAAAAACAAAAAAAATTAAAAATTAACCGCAACTCTGTTGTTTGATTTGGTTACTTTATTATTATTATTATTATTAAAATATGATAAATTGGTCACTTGGGAAAAAGCTAAAGCAGTTAAGCTATCGATATTTATCGATTTCAGGCTAAAATACATGCATCTAAAGACTCGTAGAAGTAAAATTAGAGAAATGGAGATTCTCTTTCACTACCTCCAAATCTCACGCTCTCTCTCTATCATGTTTTATCTCGATCTATTTTATCTAGCACTTTCTCCATAGAGATAGAGAGAAATCTCTTTCTATATGTCTCAATCTCTGTTTCTGATCTCTATATATTTTATCTAGCACTTTCTCTATAGAGATAGAGAGAAATCTCCTTCTATATGTCTCAATCTCTGTCTCTCTCTCTCTCTAACCATGCCTTTCTCTCTGCCTATCTCTTGCTCTCGCTTCCTCCTTATTTTTCTGTCTCTCGCTCTCTATATTTCTTTCTCCATCTCCTTCCTCTCTCTCTCTCTCTCTATCTATCTATCTATCTACTTCTTTCCTTCCATCTCCAATAGAAAAGCGAGATTTTTCTTTTGCCTCTAACCCAATTTCAAGCTTTCACACGTTCTCCATCTCCTCCTCTCAACCGCTCCCCCTCCCTCACCCATCTTTCAGTCCGATTTGCTGTTGCCTGGGACAACGTTGTCCTCCAAGTCCAAGTAAACTTCTAATCGAACAAACAAAAGCCAAAATGCTTGCGCAACGTCAGAGTCAAAGTCAGACCCAGAGCCTTCCAGTTGGTCAGTGAAAAGCAATCGGAGGTGACTCTCAGTTTTGGTTAATCGGGATGAAATTTCTGCTGAAAAAATGTCTGAGGAAAAAGGCGCCCGAAATGAAGCCAGGCGCCATACTGGATGCGGTTATATCGCAGTCCTCGGCAACGGCCTGCAGATGCCTGCTCTACAAGCTGGCCGACTACAAGAGAGGTATGTAGGTCAGATGCATGCACTGCAAAGTAATCGGAATCTAAATCTGAATCCGAATCTGATTGAATGGCAGGTGGGGATCTGATCGATGCCATCAATACGGGCGGCTTGGTGGCCGTGGAGCAGCTGATACGGGAGCAGTTCGGTGTCTTCATGTACAACGATGGCAAGGGCCAGGTGATCAATCGGGCCGAGTTCCTGCGCTGGAAGTATCGAGATCATACGGAGGTGACAATACCCATTGAGGCATCACTCTCCATACACGATCCGCTGGGCAAGTGGGAGGATCACAAGGCCTGCTGGCAGATGCAATATCGTGGCGCTCTTGGCGAGAGTCTGCTGCACGTGCTCATCATCTGCGACTCGAAGATCCATACGAAGCTGGCCCGAGTCCTGCTGCGCGTCTATCCCAATCTGGCCCTGGACGTGATGGAGGGCGAGGAGTATCTGGGCGCCAGTGCGCTGCATCTATCGATTGCGTACAGCAACAACGAGCTGGTCGCCGATCTGATCGAGGCTGGGGCCGACATCAATCAGCGTGCCATTGGCAGCTTCTTTCTGCCGCGCGACCAGCAGCGCATGAATCCGGCGAAGAGCACCGACTACGAGGGCCTCGCCTACATGGGCGAGTATCCACTGGCCTGGGCCGCGTGCTGTGCCAACGAGAGCGTCTACAATCTGCTCGTCGACTGCGGCGCCGATCCGGATGCCCAGGACTCGTTCGGCAACATGATCCTCCATATGGTTGTCGTTTGCGACAAGCTGGACATGTTCGGCTATGCGCTGCGCCACCCGAAGACGCCGGCCAAGAACGGCATTGTCAATCAGACGGGCCTGACGCCCCTAACGCTCGCCTGCAAGCTGGGCCGTGCCGAGGTCTTTCGCGAAATGTTGGAGCTGTCCGCCCGCGAGTTCTGGCGCTACAGCAACATCACCTGCTCCGGCTATCCGCTCAATGCGCTGGACACCCTGCTGCCTGACGGACGCACCAGTGAGTAGGCGATGTATATACATATACTGTCCTTTCAATCAATCCGTCCGTCAGTCCATCAATCATTCAGAGTTTTAGAATGTCTTCCCTTTTGTAAAACCTTGACCTATCCGACTTTTGCAGCAAGAGCTGTACGCTGAACATCAATCACTCAGTCAATACATCAATCGCTCTATCGGAAGTATATGGGATACGTCGATTTTCATGACTTCAATCATTCAATCGATCAATTATAATCAATTATTCAATCAGCTAAGCAAATAATCAGTCAGCCAGCCTACAATATAACCTCTGGCTATCAGTAGCCTACAGCTTGAGCACTGTGCTGATCATCAATCTATCAATCAAAGTGTCAATCTCTCTATTAAAAATTTGTTTGTAGTCTCTACTAACAATTCCAGATTCTAGCTCAACGCATGTGTTCATTTTCAGTCTCCTTCAATCATTCAATCAACCAAACAGTAAGTCAGTCAGTTCAATCAGTCAATAAGCATACAATAGTAGACTTTACGCAGATCATAAATCAATCAATCAGTCAATCAACGTGTCAATCGGACTATTGAAAGTTTAGTTAACGATTGGAGATGCCAACTGACATGATATGGAGTATACGACAGTTTTCAATCCTTCAATCAATCAATCAAGCAGTCAATAAGTCAATCAATCAAGCAATCCAATCAAGCTGGATGCTATCTGCCCTATAGTCAACTAGCTCGCTCCGCTTGAGCTCTACCTGACGTTGATCCTCAATCATTCATTCATTCACAGAGCCCATCAATCAAGCTATTACAAAAATCCATTAGTTATACCATCGTTCCATCGACCGCTAAAAACTTGACCTTTTGCAGACTGGAACTCGGCGCTGTTCATCATATTGAACGGCACCAAGCCGGAGCATCTGGACATGCTGGACGGCGGCATAATACAGCGCCTGCTGGAGGAGAAATGGAAAACTTTCGCACAGAATCAATTCCTAAAGCGTCTGCTCATTCTGTCCACCCATTTGCTCTGTCTGTCCGTATCCGTTTACTTGCGTCCGGCACACGATGGCGACGGCCTGGACGACGAGGACAATGGCGATGCCGCCGCCATGGCGCAGCTAAAGGACGGCGCTCCAATGGCGCCAACTGCGGCAGCGGATGAGGATGACTACAATGCCCAGACTGTGGCGCGCTACTGCGCCGAGCTGGCGACCATAGCGGGGGTGCTCAGCTATGTGGTCTTCCAGCAGGGTGACGAGATCAAGAATCAGGGTCTATCCGCATTTCTTAAGCAGCTGGTACGACGCGTTTTTAATCTCTTTCTCTCTTTCAATCTATTTATTTCCCTATCTTTCTATCGTGTTCCACGTCGTTCTCTCTCACATGGGATTTTTACTGCCATATTTCATCATCTCTACTTCTGCTTTTCACTCCCGTTCACTCTATGACTAAGACCATGTTGTCTTCATCTCTCTCGCTCTCTTATCACACACTCTGTCTCATTCTCTCACTCTCACTATCCCCTAATTTATCACTCTTTCTATTTATCTTACCCACTCTTTCCCTTACTTTCTCTCTCTCTCTCTCTCTCTCTCTCTCTTTATCTTACATACACACTCTCTCCTTTACTCTCTCTCTCTCTCTCTTTCTCTCCCTTACACACTCGCCCTCTTTTGCTCTCCATCTATCTCTCCATTTCCTTAACACAAACCCACTGTACTATAGTGCTGCCAATTTAGCCGTTTTACGGCTAAATATAGCATGTTAGCTGACTCTCACGTCTTTCTTTTTCTCCAGTCACATGCGCCAGCCAAGGCGATATTCTTGTTCTCGAACCTGTTGATCCTGGCGTGCATTCCGTTCCGTTTGATCGGCGACACGGACACCGAGGAGGCGATCCTGATCTTTGCCGTGCCCGGCAGCTGGTTCCTGCTCATGTTCTTTGCCGGGTAGGCATGTCATCCTCTTTTAATCACCTCGTCCCTGCCATTTACATATATGTATTTCTGGCTCTCCTTGGCAGCGCCATACGCTTGACGGGTCCCTTTGTGACGATGATTTATTCGATGATAACTGGCGATATGTTCACCTTTGGCATTATCTATTCGATCGTCCTCTGCGGCTTCTCGCAGGCGTTTTACTTCCTCTACAAGGGGCACCCGCAGGTGCAGTCGACCATGTTCAACACCTACACCAGCACCTGGATGGCCCTCTTCCAAACCACTCTCGGCGACTACAATGTGAGTATTGAGCAGCACTCGGTGATATAAGAATTCTGTCTACATATGTCTAAATTCTGGAGCGACGGCAATCTCTGAAATGATGTATTAGGCATTTGTTATTTTTCGAAGTTCTCTTAACTTCGAAGTTATCTTAAAAATCTTAGTGAAAATTTCGGGGTTCGAAATTTGAATATGGTCTATAATGCAATTTTACATGCTCTCGTATAGCTTATAAAATGTTCCTCTCTTCGATACAGTATCCGGATCTGAACCAGACGACCTATCCGAATTTATCGAAGACCGTTTTCGTCATCTTCATGATATTCGTGCCGATCCTGTTGCTCAACATGCTGATCGCCATGATGGGCAACACGTATGTGACGGTCATTGAGCAGTCGGAGAAGGAGTGGATGAAGCAGTGGGCCAAGATTGTGGTCACCCTGGAGCGAGCAGTGCCGCAGTCGGATGCCAAGGGCTATCTGGAGGCGTACTCCATACCGCTCGGTCCGGCTGACGATACGGGCTTCGAGGTGCGCGGCGTGATGGTTATCAAGAGCAAGAGCAAAACGCGTGCCAAGCAGCGCAAAGGTGCCGTCTCCAACTGGAAGGTGAGTCCTGGCCACGCATAGCCCTAATCCTCTCTAGCAACAAGTGGTTTTCGCTTGCAGCGCGTGGGACGGGTCACGTTGACGGCGCTGAAGAAGCGTGGCATGACAGGTGAGGAGATGCGGCGATTGATGTGGGGCCGTGCCTCCATATCGAGTCCCGTCAAGGTGACCAAACAGAAGCTCAAGGATCCGTACAATCTGCACAATGAATCCGACTTCACCAATGCCATGGACATGCTGACGTTTGCCAACAATCCGGCTGCCAGCAATGGAGTACCGTTGCGCAGCTCAACTGCTGGAGCAACTGCAACAGCGCCAGCAGTGGCTGCACCCGTGCCGGATCCGTTCCGTGAGCTGATCCTCATGTCCGACCAGCGACCGGACACACATGATCCGCACTACTTTGCCGGACTGCAGCAGCTGGCCAACAAGGCGTTCGACCTGGTTGAGCAGACGCTCAAAACGCAGCCGCAGCTGACCAGGAAGCCATCCGTGCCAGCAGCGGCTGTGGCAGCGCCAATAGCAACTGCAGCCGGAGCCACAGCTGCTGCGCCGCCGCCACAGAAGGCGGCTGTGCCGGCGCCTGTACCCGCGCCCATGGCCAGCAATTTGACCAATCTGTTCCAGGATCCCAAGGATATTGTGGATCCCAAGAAGCTGGAGGAGTTCATGAACATGCTCGCCGAGGTGGAGACGGAGGAGAGCGACAGCGGTGGCCCCATCCTGGGCAAACTATCGCTGGCCAAGCGCACCCACAACGCGCTCTCCAAGGCGGACATTAAACGCTCACCCAACCACAATGGAAAGACTTCGATGTCCTCGGTGTGGAATCAACAAATGCCAGACATGGAAACGCTGCCGGTAAGTGAGTGGAATGGGAGAGCACAGCTGCTACCCATTGTGTTTCCCTTGCAGGACTTTAACTTTGATGAGGCGGTGGCTGAGGAAGTGTTGACCATCGAACAGGAGGCGGAGGCGGAAACCGAGGATGGCAACGGCGAAGTGGATAGCGATGATCTGCCCACAACCGACGAGGTGCATGCCACAATGAAGCAGTTCCATCTGCGCAAGTGCCAGCCCAGCCAGGACGAGGCAGCGCGTCGAGCCAAAAGCGCACGGATTCGACGCCGAAACAAGTGAGTTGAACCAAGCGGGTGTTTACTGTACAGGTTAACTATGGGCAAGCTGTCGCCAGCATTGAGTTTTTCATACATCAGTTAATAATATAAGAGAATAACAGAAGAATACAATATAAGAAATAGGACATCAGTAGAAGATGGGATCCCTATCGAATGGGTCATGTATCAATTATAATATTAGAGATGAGACATTATTAAAAGATGAGATGTATTTCAACTATAATATAAGAGGTAAAAAAGCAGTAGAAGATGGGGTCTCTATGGTTGGATGGGTTGGAAAATGTATAATGATTATATATTAGCTAAGGGTTTTCATATAGTTCCATATAAAGCTTCCATAAGACATCAACTATAAGAGATAAAACACCAGTAGAAGATGGGATCCTGATCGAATGGGTCATATATCAACTATAATATTAGAGATGAGACATTAGTAGAAGATGAAATGTATATCAACTATAACATTAGGGATAAAACGGCAGATATCTATCCACTGACTGAAGGATTATATATTAGCTAAGAGTTTTCATATAGTTCCATATAAAGTTTCCATAAGACATCAACTAAAAGAGATAAAACAGCAGTAGAAGATGGGATGCCTATCCTCTAGATCAGAAACTGAATCCCCATACTTCTTCTCTGATATATATTCTTTGATATATATTTATGTATACACATACTCATATATCTATCCGCTTTACAGAGTATCCCCAGAGGAGAGCGAAGCCGAAGTGGAGGGCAAGCACACTCGGGGTCGCTCCGCAGCCGTGACGCGCAAAGCTCAATCGCCGCCCGACCCCCTCGAGCCTTGGAGCACGCGTGAATTACAGGATATCAACAAAATATTGGCCAGAAAGAATTGATTTTGTTGTAGTCTATAAAAAAAAGTGAAATAATTAAAATACAAAAATAATATATGAGACAATTTTGTGAATGCTTTCAAATGAGTTGTGTTTTGCAAATTTACTTTCATTAAATACAAATATTTAACTATACAAATACAATATATCATATATAATTTATATATATATCTGTTGAGGGGGATTGTGTTTTCTATTGTTACGTATTGTTAAAATAGAATGTGAAACCTGCAGCTCAGCGTGGTGTTTGCATAGCAGTTACAAAGCCAGGGAATGGTCAATTGAGCCGATGTCAGTTTCGAATCTGTTCAATAATTTGTAAATGTTCGTAATTTATATATAAATGCATACACACACACACACACACACACACCCACTGGCATACAGACACGCACGCACTCACACACACGCACATACACTATGTGAAACTTAAAAATATAATTGGCAACATGAAATTTGTAACTATATATCGGATCGGATATAGCAATTATGAAATACATTATGATATGTACATTAAGCTGGACACCAATTCCAATTCCATATCTAATTTACATTTTTATCAATATAGATAGATTGAGCCATTTCCCTGGCCTTGGCCCAACTGCTTAACTGTTTTTCCTATTTTCATTTTCATTTTTGTTTTTGTTTTTGGCTTCACTTTGCTGCCTAAGGACTAAAATACATTAAGTAATGCTACAAAAATTGTATGACATCTCTTAGCTCATCATCCCATATATATGTGGTATTTATACAAACTCTTAATTAATTACATATTTACTTAGACTAATCCAACTCTCCTCTATACATATGTATACACATTAGTGCGAAACTGAATGGCTGAATGGCTGTGAATGGGCCGCAATCGAAATGCAGGCCCAAAAAATAATCTATAAACAGACTTGCCTCCCGATGCTTCGATATGATGAGCTCGACTTCATCGACTTCGATTCAATGCTAAACACATATCAACCTAAACTAAATTTTTAACTTAAGCTTAGTAATAAGGTGGTTGCTCTTATGGGTTTTCGGTTGTTGTCGTTGCCTTTACGGTTTTCTGTTCCATGTTTTCGTTTGTTTTGGACTTTTGCTTTCTCTATCTCTCTCTCTCTCTCCCTCTAGATTTGTCTCTCCGTCTCTCTCCCGCCTATTGGGTTTTACCGAAAGCCGGTGCTCAGTGTCCGATCATTGGTTAATGCGTTTAGACCCTGCGCTTGCGCCTGCGTTGCTAATTGGGCGTTCGACGCCGTTGCATTTATGAATATTGATGCTGCGCTGTTGTTGTTATTGCTATTGCCGCTGTTGTTGTTGTTATTGTTGCTATTGTTGCCGGCCGTGTTATTGCCGCCGATGTTGGGATTGGTGCTGGTGATGTGTAGCTGTTGCTGCTGCTGCTGGTGATGATGCTGCTGCTGCTGTTGCTGCTGTTGTTGCTGCTGTTGCTGTTGCTGTTGCAGCTGCTGCTGCGTTATAGCCGTTGCATTTGTGGGCGTCCCACCCAGCTGCAAGATCTGCTGTGCCGTTAGCAACTGGGTGGGAATTATCACCTGCTGCTGGGGATTGTGCTGCTGTTGCTGTTGCTGCTGTGCCGCGGCCGCCGCTGCTGCCGCCGCCTGTACAGCGGCAACCTGCTGCTGTTGTTGCTGCTGCTGCTGTTGTTGCTGCATCTGCAATCGCAGCAATTGCAGCTGATTGGCATTTATGGCGATCTGTTGAGCAAACATTTGGCAATTGCAATCAAATAGGAGCTTGGAATCATTTCCAAATACTTACCGGAACATTGGTCAGCTCCCCGGTGGGCGTCACCACCTGCTGCAACAGTTGTATTTGCTGCTGCTGCTGTTGCTGCTGTTGTTGTTGCTGTTGAGCCAGGTTCTGCAGCAGCGCCGTCTGCTGCTGTGCCGCGGTTGCTGGCGCCGGCGTCGCCGTTAGCTGCCCATTGGGTCCGGCTGTGAGTATTAGCTGTTGTGTCGGCTGCTGGGCAACAATGTTCAAGCCGAGACTGTTCTGATGGTGCTGTTGGTGCTGCTGCTGCTGGTGCTGTTGCTGTTGGAGTTGCTGCACTAGCTGCGCCGGCTGCTGTCCTGGCAGCGCTATGAAATATTGCAGCTGCTGCGCCCCGCCGCCCTGCTGTATGATCTGCACCTGCTGCGGCTGATGCTGTTGTGCTTGCAGTTGCTGCAGCTGCTGATTGCTGTTGGCCGCCGCCGCTGCCGCCGCAAACAGATCTGGAGTCACAGTGCTAAAACCAAGCACTTCGGCTGCGCTGGGATCCAGTTTAAGGCCAGCGGCAGCCGCAGCCGCCGCCGCAGCCGCAGGTACAGTGGCGCCACCCACAACGTTGCTGGTGGTAAAGCTCGCGTTGACATTGTTGTTGCTGACAACAGATGCGCTGGCAGCCGTAGCAGCAGCCGCCGCAGCTGCTGCCGCCGTCGTTGATACATTGGAGCTTGTTTGCTCTTTGGTTTTCTGTGTGGTTGACGGTTTGATCTCCTCCCGCGGCACGATGTCGATGAGGAAGTCAAATTGATCATAATTGGCAATCGCCTGCGCGATGTCCGAGCGCTGTAGCGTACGGCGACGACTCTCCTCGGTGTGCACCCAGGCGCGCATGGTTAGCTCCTGTATGAAATATTCGCATGCCTTGGCAAACAGCAACGGCGCCTCTCCCGCTATCATTTTGGCATTCTCATCCAGTTTCATGATCTTCTTGATGCGCGCCAGGGGTAGCACCTGATGTTTGGCATCCACTTGGCCAATGCTATTCACCTCCGTCAAGATGTTCGGCCAAAAGTTGTCAATCGTTGGAGGAGGTTTGCGTACGATTTGGGCGCGCGTTGCTTTAGTCGGCTTCTCTTTTGTTGCTGGCGCCGTCGTCGGTGTCGTTGATGTCACACTAATGCCTGTCGCATAGCCTGCATTGGCTCCGGCAACGCTGCTATTCGTTACGGATAAGCCCGTTTGCATTGGCATTGTCAGCTGCTGTGACGTGACAATTACAGCGTTTGGTCGGCGAAGGGCCGGCGTTGTTGTTGTGGCCGCTGCCTTGGTCAAAGTGTCATTGAGCTCCACTTTAATCGGCGTGACAGTAATAGTGTTGTCAAACATAGTTGTGGCATTACTGCATAGAAAAAACCAAATTAATAAAGCCACGCAGAAATCACAATAAGTCACACACAAAAAAAAAAAAAAAAAACACGAAACACACCATAAAATTGTACACACTGTACAGAGGCACACGGAGATCCGAGACTCACCTATTTGGCGCCTTATTTACGCTGCCATTGTTGGTGGCGTACATGGCCACGTTATCTCAGGTGTGGCGCGTTTGCCGTCTACTATTGGTAAGGGTATGAGCACAAGCACCGCGATTCCAATTGTAGTAAAATTTGATTTTTAAAAACGTATTGCTAGTAAATTTCGCAAATGCGTAATGCATACACAATGCGCTAGGGATGGCAACTGGTGCTGCAAAACAATCGATAAGGTCACAATGGTAGCCATCTCCAGGGCTGTCAACTTAGCTTTGAAAAATGTATCGATGCTTTAAATAGCATCGATAGGCATGCATGTGCCGAGCACATTAGCTACTAAACCAATTGTTGATGTAAATCCTTGTATAAATAATATAAGAATTTCACCAAATGGTGGCCAACAGTAAGGAGAGTGAAACGGTGACCGGGGCGTCTGCGGTAACTGGACTGCCACAGAAGCGCTTCTACCGCCAGCGCGCACATTCAAATCCCATAGCGGATCACAGTTTTAACTAGTAAACATTTAACTTGTGATATTTGTTTGGATGTTTAACTCAACTAATTTTGGTATCCTTTGTTATAGTCCCGCCCGGCCAGAAGATGTGGACTGGCGCTCGTTATATCCGAGCATGGGTGATGATCAACAAGTGCAATTTGCTGATATTGGCTGCGGCTATGGAGGCTTTCTAGTAACCCTCGGCGAAATGTTTCCCGAGAAACTGGCTATCGGCATGGAGATACGAGTGAAGGTCTCTGACTATGTGATCGATCGTATTGCAGCGCTAAGGTTGAAGAATGCTAACGAAAAAACTACGTACCAAAACATTGCTTGCATACGCACCAACGCTATGAAATATTTGCCGAATTATTTTCAAAAAAGTCAACTCGAGAAGATGTTCTTCCTCTATCCCGATCCGCATTTCAAGCGCGCCAAGCACAAGTGGCGCATCATCAATCAGGCTCTGCTCTCCGAATATGCCTATGTGCTCAGAAAAGGTGTAAGTAATTACCGATTAAACCTATCTAATACCTCTAACTAAGCTCTCTTCCATGCATAGGGCTTGGTTTATACAATGACTGATGTGGAGGATCTGCACACATGGATAGTCTCACACATGACGCAGCATCCATTGTTTGAACGACTAAGCGACGAGGAAGCGGTAAGTGCTTTTTAACACAAATGAATAAAAGCTGAAATCTAATTGTTATTTATTTGTAGAATGCGGATCCTATAACGCCAAAACTCTATCAGAGTAGTGAGGAGGGCGCTAAGGTTGTACGAAATAAGGGCGAACATTTCTTGGCTATATTCCGTCGCATTTAATTTGACAAATATATACATGCATATATATTTTAACATAAATAATTTAAGTATATAGTAGACAAAATTTGATCTCTCTCTCTGTGTGCGTGTGTGTGTATGTGTGTGTTTATGTTTTGGGGCGTATGTGTTTATATACGCGTTACATATATGCATTGCAGTGTCCCATGCCTTCGCATGAGATCAACGTCTGTCCGAAATTCCCATATTCAATATTGAATTTGACCCCAGCCATTAGCTCGGCCACATAGATAGCGGTCCGTGTGTGCTTGGTTAAGGCCCCAGAACGAATACTTGAACAGCCTTTGGCCAATGCCATATAGATGATGAGCTGATCCTGCATGTGAGTGTCCACACAGATTTCATTCTTAATGTAGCCAGCCAATTCGCAAGAGGAATTTGATCCAATCATGTGTCCATCGATATTCTTTTCACCCACTGTGGCTACACCCAAGGTGCAGCCAGTGCTGGTCACTGCAGTCAATATTATGCCAGCTCCATTGTCGCGAACTTTGTCTGGTGGAAGCTTGAACACCTTTATGGTGCACTCATGGTCCGGCCACAAGCGATGTATTTCACGTTCAGCCGAATGCTGCATATCGAAGGCAATGCACTTGGGCAGCCGGCCGGCATAGTAGGCAGAACCTTTGACGGCACGGAACTGGCCGAAGTCGTTTATTTGAACAGCATTCAGGAAACGCACCGGTGCCACTTCGAGTAAGCAGCGTCCATTACCACGTGGATAGAAACCATGGTGCAGGACCTTCAGATCGAAATTAACGCCAAAACGCTTCAAATTGGGCAACAGCACTTGCTGCATATATTCCACCTGCGGAGAATACGAGACATTTGTCCCGCCCATCACATCAATCCGTGATGTGGTGCCACTGAACAACAGCACCGGCATGACCATCTGGTAAACAAGCGTAATGCTCGCAGCGGTTCGTGTGTCCACCTTGTACATAGAGCCGATGATTGTGTGTGGTGTGAATGTCAGTTCGGTGGAGTTCAGTACATTGCCTTTCACCTCAGCATTGGAAATATCCCGCAGCAAATTGACGCCATGGAGATGTTGATGTGATAGACCCGGCTTGGGGCGATTGGCACGTATTTTGACCACACGCACCGGGCGATTAAGTATAACACTTAAGGCTAGTGCATTACGTAGAGCCTGCCCGCCGCCTTCCAAATAGGAGCCGTCGATTTCCACAAAACCACTCATGCCCGGTTACCTGCAGTCGCACAACGAACTCAATATTTTAATTCGATTTGAGTATAAGAATATACATACCGATTTTTATCAGTTTCTCAAATGTTTTGCTTGTGATAAATATGTTAGTTATTCGGATTTTAATTTCAAATGTCATTTGAGTCTGTGATAGACTGACTGTTCGAAATGTATCGATTGCCGTTGCACAGATTTCGTACGCTTTGTTTTTACTCGAACAAGTTGGCAGGGCTGCACTTCTGCCGTTGCAATCTCCCACAATCACCCCGTTTTACTTTGTGTACGAAATTCGTTCTGCGCAATAAAAATATTGAATTGAATTTGTTATTTGCCGTGTAGCTTGTTCCTGGCACTATGTCAAATGTTTACCTACTGCCAGTTGCTACATTTCTCATTTTTCAAGTGACTTTTTTGGGCACGTAAGTTGCTAATGGTGTATGTTTTAATTGCGAAAAAATACCCTTATATGTTATTGTTCTTTGCATTTGGCGCAGTTACATTGTGGCCGTCTTAGAGGGACATGTTGTGCCCACAGTGCCCTATATAAGCGATGCAGCCACCTACTCTCCGGAAAGCTGTATTTTCGGGCAATTAATTAATATGGGCAGTGTTCTATGTGAGTTGCGCCAGATTTCAAAATAATTCATATCTCTAGTGTAACGAATGAGTCATAAATTGCTGATTTATTGTACCCTGCCGTGTACCCTACTTTTCCCTCGCTTTCTTTATCTCTCTCTCTCTCTCTCTCTCTCACCCTCCCGTTCTCTGTCTGTCTGTTTTTTCTACGTTTCCTTTTAATGATCGGTTTTCATTTCAAGTGGGACTTACTATCTATGTGCGATATCGCCATATAATGCAATTGTATGAGCACCATCCGGAACTGGACGCCACTTTGGTGCGACACAATCGTCTGTCTTTGTGGTTCGGCATGGTGTCCTGCCTGGGCATAAGCATTGTGGGCAACTTTCAAGAAACTAATGTACGGATTATGCACTTCATTGGCGCCTTCTGTTGCTTTGGTTGCGGCACTTTGTACTTCTGGATGCAGGCATTGATGACGTACACCATTTATCCCATGGCCGGCACAAGGAAAACGGCTCACTTGCGTCTGGGCATGTCCGTCTGCTGCACGATCCTGTTCATTATGCTCGCTGTGACTGGCATCATGTCGCACATCCTGTTCAATGGACAGAATCCGCGGAAGTGGTAAGACCGACTCTTGACTCCTTGGCCAGGCAATAGAATTAAACAATTGATTCGCGTTGCAGGTATCCGTCGGACGGCGGCTGGTATTACCACGTAATAAGCACCATATCGGAATGGATTATCGCCACCATATTTTCGTTTTTCATACTTAGTTTTACGCCCGAGTTCCGTGATGTTTCGCTACAGCATCCGCAAATTTCATTGATGTCTTACACTATGAACGTATAGATGATTCATTAATTTTATTCAAATACGATTTATATAGTGTATGCAAATATCTGAAGGTTCGACAGTGGATGACAGTCTCAGTCACGACTGTTCCATTGAATCCACAGGCTATGCTCTACATAGGATATGCAAACTGCTATCCCCTATTGCCTAAGTACCAATATGTAGTGTAGGATTTTAATCAATATCAGCTGTCCTTAATGGAATACATATGAATATACATGAGAGTAGATCGAGTATTTCATGTTTAACTGGTTCAGCCACCTGAAAATGAATGAATAATAAATCTGCAATCGAGTTGAAACTGAAATTCAAACAACACTCGGCAAAATTACAATCACTTCAAATTGTTTGCTAATTATTGTTTTTATATGTGTCTAAACTTGCCAGCAAAGGTGCTAAACTTTCGCTTTTGTAATGCGCTTAACTGTGATATAGTACGAATCTAGTATTACAGGCGAAATAGCGTTTCCCTCTATTTCCTTCTCCATCGAATAATATACAAATATATTACACACATATACAGTTAGTTTACATTTATTTGATATCAATTACTTGTTTTTTTGCTTTACAGTGAAATAAAATCTTTAACCGAAATAAATAAAAATGTAAAATGTAAAAAAAAAAAAGAAAACGCTTTTTGTTATAATTAGCATAGAATTTGTTGTGTTAATCAACGTTTGCGATCTCTGGAACGATCGCTATCGCGATGCTTGTGTCCTCCACGGTTATTGTGTCCGCCACCAGTTCCGCTGCCCCCTCCACCACTGCCTGCGCTGCCGCCAGCACCTCCACCACTGCTACGATGTGAGTAGCGGCTGTGAGACTTTCCGGAATTTGAACTAGAATTACGATACTTATCGCTATCGCTTAGACTGTTGCCCGGATTGCTGGAGCGTTCCTTTTTTACATAATAATCGGAGCGATCTCTTGACGATTTCCTGTCAAATTCAAGAAGGCAGAGTTAATGCTATAATAGAGCTCTTATAGCTAAAGCCGTCTTACCTCTTGCGATGCTTGCTGTGCGGCGAGCTGGAGCGCGTGGGGGATCGCGAATAGTGGCGCGACTTCTTTTTGTGCTTGGGCAACGATCGTGAACGTGAGCGGGACGAGCGACTGCGGTCCCGATCGCGATCGCGTTCCCGGTCACGGTCACGATCACGGTCACGATCCCTATCGCGTTCACGATCACGATCGCGATCTCGATGCGATTTCTTGGAACGCTCGCGGCTCGGCGAATGGCTACGCGACCGAGAACGTGGCGTGCGTGACTGCGTACGTGTGCGAGAACGCGAATGGGAACGTGAATCTTTCTTGGGCGACTTCCCAGTGGGCAACGGAACAGCACGCTGAATAAATCCACCCCACGCATTGTGCGAGCCATTGTTGCGATCTACCGTTATTACGGCTGGAGGCGTGTTCGCCTCCTTGGTCTTGTTACGAGCATCAATATAACGCTTCTTCAATTCCTCGACAGCGGCCTCCAGCTTCTCCACAACTGGCTTGGCCCGCGTATAAAGCTCCATCACCCGATAACAAATATCCGTAATATTGGCCATTGGTACACGGAAGATGCCAAACCACGGCGGGCTATGCGGTAGCGGTATATTCAGCTTGCGCGCACTTAAGTATATGCACGCACAGGCAATCGCCTCCGGCGTATAACGCATGAACACATCCGTACGCAACGAATCGTTCATGAAATTCCATGACATTTGCATCAATTTCTCATGCTTTTCGTATTGTAGCACTTGTAGATACATGACGATCAGTTTATGCGGATGCTTGACATGCACACAGAAACCCAATTCCTTCAGCACTCGACGCTCCGCCTTGATCACCTGTGTTTTCAGATTCGTGTAGTACTGATCCAGCACCATGGGCGTAATTTCTCTGCGAAACAGATGAAAATCATTGTTAAATACCAAATGAAAGCTAATTAGTGTCTCGACTTACTTTTGAGCGCGCACTTGCTTGATGTGATGAAAGACGTTGATAACATCGCGAATGCGACGCGGTGCCTCTTCGATTTTGGAGGCAAGGCAGACACAGCTCATGGCCACGGTTTCCATGTTGTGACGGACGAAGCTCTTCGAGTAGAAGAAGCGCTGGAAAAGCACCTGGCCAGTGGCCATGGCTACTTGAGGCAAACGGAGCAGTATGCCCGCCGTTTGTATTAGCTCGCAGCCAAGGATGCGCAGATCCTTTTCTGTTTCAAGATCCAATCCATCTTGACTGGATGGGGTCGCATCAATTTTCTCCTCAGGTATCAGGCTGTTCTCCAATGTTAGCACAATTTTGTTGAAAAGACGGGGATACATAGGCTTGGCAGCTTCGCCATCAGTTCCATCATTTCCAGTGGCAACGGCAGCTGTGTTACCGCTGTGCGTATTATTCGAGATGTTCACGTTGTTGGAGTGAACTGAGCTGACAGTAAGTACATTGGTGATTGTTTGCAATGCCGTTGCCGTTACCGTTGAGCCTGACGTTAGGGTGGTATGGATGACGCCAGTCGTGGCGGTGATTACGCTAGTTGCACCACGACTGGCCATTTCACTTCTAACTTATTATTTTATTTAATTTTTTTTTTTCTGATTTACAATAAATGCTATTGTGTATGAATTTGTGAATTTCCAACAGTGTACACCCAAAAAACGTTTGCACGAAAACTAAAAATACTAAAATAATGCGTCAGCAGACAGATATCGATATTCAGTGTTCGAAAACTATCGAAAATTATTAGCATACATGTGCACATCTCCAAACAGCATACAGTTCGAAGTAGATTCGGTACGAACGTGTTCGCGTGGCCGCTGCGCGCTGTAAGAGAGACTCTTCTAAGTGTAATATTTGGGGACTTAGCAAAAAAAATATATCATTTTGTATTATCGCGCAGTAAATGCAGAGACACAAAAAGTAGTTGCAGTCGCATGTATCGGCTTTTGACAACTGACATATAATACTAAGTACAATATATAAAAGTATAGAAAATATATTTAAGAAAAAAATTTTAAGTGAAGTTGGGAAAAAAGCCGTAAGCGCCGGACTGCCAACTGAGAAATTGTGCAAAATGAGTGGGGATGTGGCTGCTGAAAATGTAAGTAATTTTGAGACGTATTTATTTTTATGTAATTTTCATCCGCTTTGCAAAGTGCAGTGACGAAAGGGGCAAGTGTGTTTTTATTTTTTGCATGCACAAAATGCATAAGTACTTGCAACCAGTGCAAGTTTCGACCGACCTGCACCTAAATCATGCGTACTCGCATTGCAATAAAGAGTAAAAGGCCTTTTGGTGATTTACGAAAATGGCGACAATGCATGCAAGTAGTAGCAGGCAGAGACAGGCAGGCAGTATAAAAATGACGAGAGACGGCAACGACACAACGACAATGTGTATTTGGCACAGTGTGACCGATTTTTGCTGCTCTAAATACCAGTATGGTATTTTATGTGAACAATCATTGTTTTCTAAAGTATGCAAAAACAATTTATTTGTTTTTACTTTTACAACTGTTTATGGACTTGGCGTTTATTTCGCATACAGCATTTTTTGCAAACTTATTTCAATCGAATATCACATTAATACAAATAATAGTAAAAGATAATATAACACTTGAAGGTATATAAAAGGAGCTTTGGTTTTTGAAAATAAATTCGAATGGAATGCATTTGTTAAATTCGGTTGTAGTATTTTGTGTATTTTTGATGTTTGTACAAATGTGGTCACACTGCGCGAGGTGCCGAAGTAATCACATGTGTGTGCATACATATACACAAGCACACAAATAAAAAAAACAGCCTTGATCTGCCGACTCCTCCGCCGCCGCTGCTACTGCTGTTGCTCCTGTTACACCTTACATTGGAAATAATGCTCGACAGAAAGTACGAGCAATAAACGCCAGAAACATCAGCACTGCTATCATTTACTATATAGTCTACCCACTTCCTGCCCCTCACATTCAAATCCTGTCAATGGAATATTCTTGCCCTTTCATTTTATTTTCTTCGTACAAGATATTTGAATTTGTTAGGGTTGATTTTTCACCACGTGGTGGTGTGGCATGGTGTGGTGTGTCCATCTCTACTTACATATAAACACACACACACGCGTCTATAAAGAGTTTTGTAAATCATTGACAATTGACTTGTAGAGTTGCTACTTAAATGTGTCACACACACAAACATAGCCACATACACACACTTAAACACATGTACACATTCGATCACACAGGTAGTCAATACTTCATTTCTTTTTAAGTTATAGGCAGACATATTTTCACAATTGTATAAAAGTAAGAGTATGTATGTGTTAGAGTGTGTGGGTGTGCATGCACGCGTGTTACAATTAGTTTTATAAGACTAGTCAAATGTTCTAAATATTTCCGCGAAGTCTCAAAATTAATGTATGAATAACTTCGATGGATGATTGTTTTGCTGTGCGTATTTCAATCCGTATTTATATTGATGCAGACATTTGTTTCTTTCACTTGATTAACGTGCTTTTTTCTTTTTGGCAGAATGTACACGTGCAAAATGGCGGCAGCTGCGAAGTGCAATCGAATGGTGTAACCACAAATGGACACCATCACCACCATCAAAGCAGCAGCAGCAGCAGCAGCGGTAAACATAAATCATCCAGTAAGGATAAGCATCGTGATAGGGAACGCAGCAGCGAACATAAGAGCTCTAGCTCTTCGTCTAGGGAACATAAAAGCGGAAGCAGCAGCAGTCGGTAAGTCTCCAATATGAAAATATCTGTTTATTGATCTGCTTTAGCTTTAATATGTTGTGTATCAATGTTTGTTTACAGCGATAAAGATAAACATAAGAGTAGCAGCAGCTCTTCGAGTGGCAAGGACAAGCATAGGGATAAGGAACGAGATAGCAGTAACTCAAATCGCAGCTCTTCGTCGTCGTCGTCGTCCAGCCACCGCGATAAAAATGGCAAGCACAAGTCTTCGTCTAGCCATCATCATAAGAGCAGCAGCATTAGCAGCAGTAGTGGCTCGTCCTCTAAGGACAAGGAACGCCGCGATAAGGATCGCAGCAGCAGCAGCAGCTCCTCCAGTCGAGATAAACACAAGTCTTCGTCGTCATCGTCGTCGTCTTCGAGCTCACGTCACAAGAGCTCATCGTCTTCATCATCATCATTGAAAAGCAAACATTCCAGTTCAAGTTCTAGGCATAGCTCATCCTCAAAAGATCCTGCCTATGATGGTGTATT